CAGAACGATGAGCTAACATATTGTTTCAAAAATCCAATAGTCAAAGGTCAAAATCAGGCATCCTTCGGTATCCGACGAAGTTAATTTACGAATATCTTTCACCCCCTTTTTAAACGAAATGAATGTCGGAATAAATCCTCAAGAAATTTCCATAACAAAACCGCCAACAAGCATTTTTAAGTCTTATTATTGTAAGATATAGTTATATATAATCGTAGCTTGAATGAGGTTTTAAAAATACTCAAAAGATTCATAGTTTTATGGAATTAAGAACAACCGAGTCTTTCCTTAGAAAGGCAAAGTATAACTTTGAAGTGAACATGGATAAAATTCTAAGAGCATAACATTCTAGAAGCCTTAAGTTTAAATATAAAGAAAATTTTAAGTCACTTAAACAGTGTAATTAACAAAGACAAAATTATACACAGTGATCGAACGTAAAAATTCACGAAATTCATTTAAACAAAAAGATAAAAAGAACCTCGTTCATTCAAGGTTTATTCAAATAAGCCTAACATCTGGATTGCGAAATTTATACAAGAAACATTATTTTAGAAGTGATGTCAAATTCATATCTATATTTATACTATAGATATATGTATATAATTACTTAAAATCTGAATACTGTGAAAATGTTAGTTTAAATCGTGTCATAGTGATTGTAAAAGAATGAGTAGACAATCCAGAGATTAATACAGTGATACAATTTTTTGTAGAAATATTATAATAATGTAATATTTTATGTCCAAATATATACACCCATAAAATAACCTACTGACAAGGCGTAGGATATGCGGATAGAATAGCAGCCACCTTGCTGCCACCTAGGCCATGAATTTGCAGCAGCTGGCGAGCAAATATATCTTGAACGGGTCGCGGTGGTGTCTTTTGAGCCAACTGCACAAAGCAAGACCAGGTGAGACCATACCAAGAAGAGCATGACCGAGTGGGTAAGGTGGATGTTTGATAATGGGCCGATACAGGTTTACAAGGCCATTGAATAGGTTTATCTATCTGAGGCTCAGATAAGACAAGCAGGTCCAACTGAATAGCATGTAATGTGGTTAGGAGTATTTCATTGTTTTTGAATGTAATAAAAGTGAGTGTTAATACAAGGGGCTCAATGGCAATAAAATAAAAAGCAAATAAAGGCCTAGCTAAAAATTTACAAAGGCTTTGCAAATAGAGCTTAACATTTAATTTGCCAATTATCTTTAAACTTAAAATAAGATAACGATCATCAATAAGTAACAATTAAACAGCAGATATGCAAATGGAATAATAGACTTAAATTGTGAAATAAAGGTCAGATAAACGAAATACGAAGAGTAACTAAGTTTCGATAAATCTCCTGAGAGAATTTAATTGGGGAGACTTTCATTTAGTATGAAAATGCATGAAGAATAGATTCGAAAGTCGATCGAACTAGAAGAGTACAGCTAATTCCCGTTACACTGCAGCCGTTTGGCTTTAATAATGAAGTTCATCTTGATACAGTACACGAGACAGTCTTTCTCATTTCGGGTGGAAACGGGATGAGCTTTCGCCCAGCATGTGATGGACATTAATCATGCAAAAATCTCACGTTAACGCTAGATCAAGAAGACTATTCGGCTTCACATGCGTCTAATATATATTCATAACTAAAAAACAAAAATGAAAATATATGGATAAGTATAGAATGGTTTAGCAAATTGCCTTTCATATTTGTCCTAATACTTTTGCTCATGTCTCTTCATTGACGTGTATAAGTAACACCGGTCCTAAATCAGAATAATAAAACCGAACAGCTACACTTATATTTCTTATCCTGCAATATAACTGCATAAGATTGCAGTCCATTGCAAGCGTG